GCTATATTATGACCCTTGTAAAATCTTGTTTGTATTTTCTGTTTCTAGTCTTTGAAGAAATTAAACCATGCCAACGTGGTAAAGCTGAAAGAAGTTATCAGGGAAAATGATCATCTGTATTTTGTGTTTGAATACATGAAGGAAAATCTTTATCAGCTAATGAAAGAGAGGTATGTAACAGCATCACCCATTCCTGATATGTATTAATTGTGTAATGTGCTTTTAACACCTCTGATACTGTTCAAAAGGCTTTGGATCATTTGTTTAGGTTTGGATCACTATCATTAAAGCTGCAGGCTGCAGTAGGAGCTGTGACTGTCACCTTTGAGCATATCCCAGCCAGTCTAGTGTGAGTTTCCAGTGTCTTGTCCCAGATTAGTGTGGTAGGGGAGTAGGGTGTTCTTTTAAGATGTAGTAATTGTGGGCTTTTAATGGTAAATTTTGTGCCAAGGGACAAATAAGTATTTCCTCTGTAGCTAGAAAAAAAATTAGGCAAATATGAAAAGCTAACTAGAAGTTTTATTTGTCATTACTACCTTTTATCTTTGGTTCATTGGATAGCATAAGCTAATGTATGAATTTAATCATTAATATTTATTTCTTCGCTTTTATTCCACAGAAACAAACTATTCCCTGAGTCTACAGTTAGGAATATTATGTATCAGATCCTGCAAGGGCTTGCATTTATTCATAAACATGGTAAGTTACGTTTTAGCTATAAACATCCTGAATTAGAGACAGATAGTGTTTTGTAAGTTTTTTGATTAATACACAAGCAATTACTTTGCTAACTTTAGTAGGAGGAATGATCAAAAGAATGGCTCTGTATGAGAGATTCAGATTTCTGAAAACACCTGTGTTTTATAGTTGCCTAATCTTTTTTTCTGGAGGTTTGCTCAGTTCTTTTTCTGTAGATTTCCACTTTCTCAGTCTGGCAGCTGGCCACTCTCAAGCTTGTTGGATGTTAATGAACACATTTCTTGGTAGATTTAAAGGTCCTCTGAGACTGAGAATAAAGAAGAAATTATTCTTTTCTCAAGGTACATGCCAGATACCTGAATAAAACACACATTCTTTATAAGATACATTTAAAGTAATAAAGTTTGAGTGACAAGCAGCTTTCCTTGCATGGGCTTCCAACTAATATTTGCAACAGTGATAAAAGCTAAAGCTGATGTCCCAGCCAGTAGTAACAACAATAACCCACTTAACTGATAAAAAAAATCTCAAAACAGACACCTTGTTTTAACAAAAACTTCCTCACTGTTTTTTGCTGACCTGTGCAATTCTGTCTGCTAGATACACTGTAGGGTGTGTTGCTGGGCAGCTCTCTGGGTTATCAGAAGAGAACTGACATCGGTGGCCAAAGTCCTGGAAGTGAAAGGCATATAAGGACCACCATTACATTCTTCATTCACTTGAAGAACATGTTTAATTGTGTTTTGCAAAATACTTTCCAGCTAATGATTTTATTCACACTTCTAATGGGGCTTGGATACTCATCTGAAACCTAACTGTAAATTCCAGTCTGTTTCAGTGACATACATAATATGTAAAAGCAGAAAAATATTATGATTTATTTGGAAAAATCTAAGCCAGCTTTTTTCAATAAATTGTAAAATGGATCACAGCCTTTCAGAACAGCTTTTATTGCTATTTAACTTACTATAGCTGTGAAGACTGAACAGTTCTATGTCAAAACTGTCTTTTTCATTGACCTGCTACCACACTAGACTTGTATTTCTGCCAAGATGTTGCAAATGTAGTTAAGAGCACCTGGAAATGTTTGGCAGGTCCAACAGGATGGTTGTGATGATTTGTGGCTCACAGTGTAAGAATGAGTGTCCCAATATTCTCTCGGAAGTGTTTTGGAAAAAAGTCACATGAATATTTTTTCCCTCTCTGTATTTCTCTGTTCTGCTCCTGTGTGGCATAGAAGTGCTTGTCAACTAAACTTCTTACATTCTTTGTCCATCCAAACTTTTAAGCATCTTTTTATATTTGAATACACAACAGATTGCTCTTTTTACAAGTTTGTCATGAAATAAATTGCCTCACAAACATTCTCTTGGTGCATGTTTGTGCAGCAAAATACAGAAGTGATTGTATTAAATGCTAAGAACAGGCTTGACTGCTTTACCTGGTACCTTTCACAAAGAAGCAGTAGTTCAAGCTGGCACCAGAACATCAACTCAACATCCCTAGGAAGGATGCAGTCTCCTGGTTAGTAGATACCTACAGCACTATGTCTTCAGTGCTGTTATGCATTAATCTAACAAACAATAACAAAAAAGCTAATCTAGTTATACTGGACAATGTAGACACATCCTATGTCAATGCTTTGTCCATTTTCTATGCGAGCATATTTAAAGCTGTGGAAAAAGTATATTGGTAATATTGGAGTCTCTGAGAAGGAGCTCAGAGAGCTCTAGTAAAGTACTACAGAAGGAGCTGTATCTAGGAATGGTGGTTCAGAAGCTTGCAAGAAACAAGCATAAGGACAAGATTTCCAGGCTAATGGTGGAGGCAAATTTCAGAGACGGTAGTCAATGATACTCCAACCCTCTTCTCTCCTTTGTATTGAAAGAGCTCTTGCCAAATATTCATTCATGATCAGTTTTTGCTGAATGCAGGGAGCAGTAAAAAATGCACTGAGATCCTCTTACATCGTGTTGAGTAGCTGAGTGCTTGCAGATTATGTTCTCAGATTTAAAAAAAAAGTTCAAAGTGCAAAAAAACCCCTCATTTTAATTTATATTCTGTTTAAAATAAAATTTTATGTAACTGATTGATAACTTACTTGGGACAGTTTCAAATTAGAATTAAACTAGCATTAAAATGGTGGAATTCTTTATGTTAGAGAAGTGTCACTTGAAAGAGAGCTGTCTTGAATAAATACTCTGAATTGTTGCAAGGTAGCCAATTTGTGTATACTGTTCTTCACAATTTTAGATGAAAAACACTGTACTGATCAGCTCTGCTGATCTCATATGACTTTGATGTCTGTGTGGTGCTATTCCAGCTTCAATGCTAAGAACTAAAGCAAAACAATCCAGTTGTAAAATAAAGGATACAGTTGCGAGTGACATTGCAATCCACATCAATATTTCATTTGAATTTCAGGGTTCTTTCACAGGGACTTGAAACCTGAAAACCTGCTTTGCATGGGACCAGAACTTGTGAAAATTGCAGATTTTGGCTTAGCCCGAGAAATCCGATCTCGTCCTCCTTACACTGATTATGTATCCACGAGATGGTAAGTGCTTGTACTCACCTACTCACCTACGTAGTAGGAACTTGTAATCAACACTTGAAAGTAGTACTGTACTGAATTTGGGCTAATTGTTATACTACGTTTAATGCCTCTGGGTTATGAAACTTTTATTTAAGCTTGGTATAATTTGAAAAGCTTCATTTAGTGCAAGACAGTTTACAAATAACAGCAGCACAGGGGCAGAGAGGGAGTGTGGTAAGGCTGGTGGGAACACGCTAGGATTGCTGTGTGTCAGGAAGGTGTAAGAGAGTTTACAGAAGCTTATGTGGTTTTAATAAAAAGTCTGTGTACTGGAGACAAGAGGAGGTTTTTGAAGAATGTTTGCTCTTAATAGCTAAGAATGAAGAGGTGAGTGATTTCATGTATGTTAGAATTGTGTTGATTGTTGGGATTTCCTTTTCTGTCTTTCTTCTACAGGTACAGGGCTCCTGAAGTACTTCTGAGATCCACCTGCTATAGTTCTCCAATAGATATTTGGGCTGTTGGTTGCATAATGGCAGAAGTTTACACGCTGAGGCCTCTCTTCCCAGGCGCCAGTGAAATTGATACTATATTCAAAATTTGCCAAATCTTAGGGACACCAAAAAAGGTAACTGAAGTGATACTCCAGACTGCAGTAATCCTGGAGCTGTTCTACAATACACAATGGCACGGTAGCAGTAAGCATAAAAATAATAAATTTTCCTGATTAATGTTAATTTATGGTATTACATATATATTAGATATATATTAGATACATATGATATCAGATAAAATAAACTAAATTAAAACTTATTTTCTGTGCAGTAATTATGCTATAAAAGCTGCCACATAGAGGAGGAGAAATAGACCCCTGCACAGCAAACAAAATCCTTAGACTGGGATTTCATTAGGTGGGAACTTAAATTTTCTCTTGTACATTGCATATAAACCTATGGTTTAAGAGGTTAAAAATTGAGATCCTGGCAAGATTCCTATTTCCTGACTCTATTTGTGCCCTTGACTCTGTCAGATGTACAGCAAGACTCACCTCTCACCAGAGGTTTGAGGTGAAGATTTTTAGTGAAATTTTCAGTGTAAGCTGGACATTGTCTGTTACTGGTAGAATATGTGCTAATGTGCTTAGGCACTGATACTTTACAGCTGAGCTTTATTTGTGTTTGGAAATCTCACTCTTCCAGAACGACTGGCCTGAAGGCTACCAGCTTTCAGCTTCCATGAATTTTCGCTGGCCTCAGTGTGTACCTAACAACCTAAAAACTCTCATACCTAATGCTAGCAGTGAAGCGGTGCAGCTCATGAGAGACATGCTGCAGTGGGACCCCAAAAAGCGGCCAACAGCTAGTCAGGTTTGATTTCGTTTTTTTTCTCTGCTTGTGATTTTTTTCTTTTACTGCAAGGAACAGTCATTTAGCAGTGGCTCAGGGGTGCAGTTCTTAGAAGGGAGAAGAGAATCCCAGAACAATTTGCCAGACAAAGGAGGGTAATTAAGAGAGAGTAATCAGTCTTTTGCATGAAACATCAGCTGCTTGGGGTATGTGCTCAGTGATCAAAGGTGTGACTGCAGCATGTAAATACACTTGAATTAAGTGTAATCCAGTCACTGACTAGCAGCAGAGTGAAGGTAGGATGAATGGCTGAAGGCTGTGATGCTGTTCTTTCGTTGTGGTAGGCCAAAGAATGACTGGAATCTGGTTCAACCACCTTTCCCTAGGCAACCTGTGCCAGTGCTCAGTTACTCTCCGGGTAAAAAAGTATTTCTTGGTGTTCAGAAGGAGCTTCCTGTGTTTCAGTTTGTGCCAGTTGTCACTGGGCACCCCTGAAGAGAGACTCGCTCAATCTTTTTTGCACGTTCCCTTCTGGTTTTTTGCATACTTTCATAAGATCAAGAACCTTCTCCTCTCCAGGCTGAACAGTCCCAATTCTGTCTTTGCTCATACATGAGATCCAGTCTCTTAACCACCTTTGTGGCCCTTTGCTGGAGTCTCTCCATTATGTCCATCTCTGTCCTCTGTTGGGGAGGCCTAAACTGGACAGCAGTCCAGGCATGGCCTCACCTGTACTGAACAAAGGGGAAGAATCACTGCTCTTGACCTGCTGGCAGCAGTCCTGTTCAGGCAGCCCAGGAGTTAGTCTTATTTGCAGCAAGAGTGTATTTGATAGCCCTTCCATGTTCAACTTGGTGTCTACCAGGTCCTTTCCTGCAAAGCTGCTTTCCAGGTAATTGACCCCAGCATGCACTGGTGCATGTGGTTATTCCTTCCCAGGACTTTTTATTTATCCTTGTTAACTTGATGAGGTTCCTGTCAGCCCATTTCACCAGCCTGCCAAAGTCCCACAGGGTGGCAGCACAGCCAGCCAGCGTGTCACCACCTCCTTCCGCTTGTCACATCAGCAGACTCGCTGAGGGTGCACTCTGCACTACCAGCGACATCATTAATGAAGGTGTTGGAACAGTATTTGCCCCAGTATTGACCTCTGGGGACCACAGATACTTCCTGGCCTCCAACCAAGACTTTGTTCCACTGATTGCCACCCTTGGGCCTGGCCTTTCAGCCAGCTGTTAGTCCACCTTGCTCTCTGTTCCTCCAGCCTAGTGTTGCCTGGATAAGGCTTGCTTCTGCAGGGCAGCCACCGCTCAAGTGCATTGCAGATATGTTCTGTACAGAAGCATTGCCCAAGTCATCAGTATTGCACACAGGTGGTGGTGGCTGCTGGTTTCAGGTAGTACTCAACTAATACAATGATCAGGGCACCTTTTGGAAAACAGATGTGTTTCTGGGTTCAAATCTGACACTTGACTTCAAGGGTCGTAGCTGAACCTTTGTGATTTAATTAGACCTTCAGTACAAATTGCAATAAAAAGCTTGACATGTAATTAAAATAGTTTAAAAATGAAATAAATTAAGAACTCTTAAAGGTAATGAAGAACAAAAAACCAGACTGTAATGATATTAAGAGCATTAACAAATGTTCTACAGTAAAGGACAAATAGAGTGAGGAATCTGAACTTTCAGCTTTTTGCAGTAAGAAGTCTTTGGGAAAGGGAGTATGTCTGAAACATCAAGATAGATTAATTGCCTTTACTGACAACTTCCTAATTACTTGTAAGGTGGGATAAAAGTACTTTTACTAACTAACTTTACTAACTTGTCAGAAAAGGTAGAGGCTAATTTCCATAAGAGCTGTATTTCTTTCACTTAATTCAAATTGTCTCAGAAATGAAGAATAGAAGAGGTGGGATGTCTGTTGGGGTCATTGAGTTTTGCTGGCTGAATCTGTAATCATGAGGGGGGATGTGTTTGCATGTGCACACATGAAGAGACAGCATGTAATGAAACATTTCTTTAGATGCCATATACCTGGTTAACTATCTTAATCTGCAGAACCTTTCCTTCTGTACTAGTCCACAGAAGATTTGATCTCTTGAAACTTCTTTGCTGTTGCAACATTTTTTTGAAGTGGATTGTGCTCACTAGAATCTGGTGTTAAAAGACATGTCTTCTGCTGTTTCCTACCCTGGAAAAAAAAGGAAATTAAATTTGTACTAACACATAGGAGTGGGGTAAATGAAAAACTTAGGTTTTCAAAGCCTAACATCTTCATTACTTTTTAGGCACTTCGATACTCATACTTCCAGGTTGGGCATGTCCTGGGCATTCAGGAACTGGGAAAACAAAAGGAACTGCATAATAAATCATCTCTGCATATTAAGCCTGTCCCTCCAGCACAGCCCCCTCCAAAACCTCATGCCCGAATTTCATCAAGGCCTTTTCAACAAAGCCAGTCTTCTCAGCACGTGGTATATGCATGTAAAACAGACAACTCTGGGGCTGAGCACAGTGACTACTTACAGGAGGACAAATCTAACCAGGTTCTTCTGCCTGCAATTCACAATAAGGTTCCTCAGCAGGTAAAGGTCCATCTAGCTTAAGATAAGCTTTCTGATATATTGCCTGATTTTTTTCCTTGTGTTTCTTTTTCTTGTTCTCTTTCAAGGTTCTTGTACTTCACTAAAAGAATAGTGAGCAGAACTAAAAAATGGTTCCAACGTTCCAACTTTCTGCTAGAAACTGGAAGTTCCTCTACTGAAATATAAATCCAGTTGCTGTAAAACAAGCAAGTGAATTTCTCAATTTAGAGCCATTTTGTGCTTCCCTTTGTTGTAAAGCACCACCTACAGGATGACACTGATTTCATATGAGTAAAAAGGATGTACAGTGTTAAAAATATTAATGGGATTGATGCCATTATTAAGCTAAATAGTACTGAAATGAGGGAAAGGAGACTATTGCCTTTATCCATTTAAGGCATCCAATTTGTTGACTGGGAATAATAGTCCCTTTGGTCTTCCATGCTGGATGTGGAAACCAACAGATTCTTCCTGCAGCATGAGAATGTACCCTTTCTGTCTACTAATGAGACTGGATTCATAAAATTGATGATGAGAGCAGACAATGCAAATGCTGCTGCTACAGGGTCAGTCATAAGCAGGGTCTCTACTGACCACTGTCACACAAAGTCAAAATGTACTGCTGGGCCTGAATGATTGAAGAGACACAGATTTGTACCTGTGCTGTCTTGAAAGAGAAAAAAATTTTAAATGTCTAGACATAGGCTTGTGGAAACATAAGCATTCATGCAGTTTTATACTCCCAGCATGGGTTTAGAAGTAAAAATTTAGTATAAGGTAATGGTTTGGGAGGTGCATACTGAAGCATGAATAGAATTGGAATTGAGACCCAAGAAATTTCTTTTCCTCTGTCAGTTCAAGATGCTTTATTGCAGGACAAAATGTAGAAGATACATAATAATGTCAGCAGGCTACAGATTGTAATCTTAGCATGTTTAATGGAAGTTGAAGATTGTGTTGTTACAGCTTTACTACCACTATTACTCTTTAAGATCGAGGAAAAAAAAATCCTCTTTTTTCCTGTCACCTAGTTTGTGGTCTAAGCATGTAGGTTTGTTTCTTTTTGATCTTAATAGAAAACATCTCCTGGGTCTGAGAATATAAATGGTGAACTTAAACCAAAACCTAGGCGAAGATGGGGACATCTTCCTAGGACAGTTAAGAGTTCTGAAGACTGGGATGACTTGGAAGACCTTGATTTCAGCTCCTCTGTCATGAGAATGGACTTGAAAAATAAGAGGCAGAATGATGAAACTCTTTGTAGGTAAGGGATTTGTTATGTGTATATGCTGTTTGGTCTATTTCTTTGGTCTTTTCCTCTTTCTTAGTAATGTTGCTCTTCATGCTTTCTTTGTATTTGGAAATGTATGTATATACAATTTTGTGGGTTTTTTCCCCACTGAGAATGATAACTGGCTTAAGTCTCCCCAATTTAATTTTTGAATACATACTTTCAATTTTACATGTGGACCATTTTGACATATTCCATGCATATAAGCTGTTTTGGACAAGTCCTAGCTGAAGTTTTCATGGATGGTATAGAGAAGAGAGAAACTTACTGATTTATAAAAACTTGAAAAGCAGTATATAAGGGAACTAGAAGCACAAATCTGTTTTTCAGGTACACTTGTATGACTTCGGGTTGGTAATATTCCCTGTTTTCTGTGTGTTCATGATGTAGCAAACACATAATAAGAAAATTATTCCTGGAGATGGGGTGGAGTTGAGAAAGTCAGCTGTGCATAAACATGTGCTATAAGAGCTGGACTACATGTACCAATTTTTGTGTTTCAGATTTGAAAGCATTTTGGACCTGAAGCCTTTGGATGCTGTAGGCTCTGGCAGCAGTGCACGAACTTCCCATGCGACCTTTTTGCGGCAAGACACTCCCACATTGCGAGTTTCTGCAGCAAAGCAACACTACTTAAACCATTCTAGGTATCGACCTGGTCAGTAAAAAATGCTTTTCTTTTCTTCCTGCAATTCCAACAGTATGAAATAGTCAGTGGTACATTAGTCCTTAGTCTTTGAACTTGTGGAGGGGGGCTACTGCTCAAAGAACATGAGGACAGAAAGAGCTTTCCTGATGTAGATGGCCATGACACAAACTGCATTGTAGTAGTCTAGCAACTGAGAAGTACTGCTTACAAACAAGGGAAAAGGACTGTTGGTACTTCTTCCTCCTGATGGATACTCTTTTACATGGAAGTGCATTAGAAAATATCTGTATATGTGCCAAACTATTCCCTGTCTCCCTAAAAAGTGTAAGACTGGTCTTCTAGAGTGGAAAAGAAAGTGCCATGTGTTTACCTTATGAGCATATAATACCATGAACTACAGGCAAATTAGTAGTGGGAATATGCTTTGCTGCAGTTTGGACTTAAGTTAAATGCAGATCTATGTCTCTATAGAGAATTACATGCCTGTCTTCATGATAACCTCTGCTATACTGACACCAGTGCTGGGGCAGGATGAAGTACAGGAGGCAGACAGTATGTCTGCCAGTATTTAAAATGAGATGAGTATAAATGTATTCTTTCTCATAATTTCTATTCATAAAGGTAGTTTTAGCTATTTGTTCACTTGTACTAACTACTTCAAAATTAAGTAAACTAGAAGGTATTGTGACAGCAAACTCAGTCTTTTTTCTTGAAACAACTGACTTTCAAATTGTCTCGCTTAGATAGAGTTTTGGTAGCTAAAACTTGTTTTACTAGAGATTGTAGAACACATTGATCCCAAGACTGCTTTAGCCGTATCATAACTTGTGAGTGCATCCTTGAATGTTAGGTACCGTGCTTAAATACAAATAATAGGTGTCATCTGAACTGTAGTGCCAGCTGTTTGCATAATCTGAGGTTTCAGTAGAGACACCAAAGAAGAGTACAGTATGATGAGCAATGGAATTGCCATTATTGCCTCTCAGATTATCTTGTCACTGTTAGGCTTTTATAAGAACCACAGATTTCATGTACCTAGCAAGGTTCACTTTCTGTGACATGAGGATATTTGTGGCCTTGATGTAAGGACCCTGTCCTGTGATATAAGCAGCCATTGATGCTAGTGGAACTACTTACATTGTAATGTTTGCAGGATTAGGGCCTGTGCCTAGTTATAGCATTCCTGTATTATGAGAGGATGGAGAGTGACTGAGAGAGTCACTAAGAGAGAGGTTTTGGTTAAGTTTAGTTAAGTTGAACCAGACTTCTGCTCAAAGATTGTGCATCAGGTGGAATGAATGCAGGCTTGTGTGGCAACAGGGATTTTAGTGAAGTAATCTTCGCATTTTTGCAATATAGGAATAAGCACCAGGAATAACATAGTCTCCACTTTGAACAAAGAGTCTGTTCCATCTAATCACTGGCCCAGTTCTGGTTTGTCTGGGAAAACTTCCGGTTTGGGAGGAAGTACTACCAGCAGGATGAATTCAGGTAAGAAGGTGTGCTTAAGACTGAGAAATGATAATAAGTGATGTCTGTGCAATTCCCCACCAGTGTATGTTGGAGTCATCCATTTCTAAAATGTTGTCAGCTCGAGAGATACCTGCTAACCCAGTCCTTCCGTTGTGTTAAAATGAGCACTCTTCTTTGGGAGACTGCCTTAAATTGAAGCATAGTAATTTCTTCTAATGAATCATCACAAGTCTGAAGTACCCCGTGCATAGAAGGCTGGACAGCTTAACTCTGTTCTACCTGAAATACTTCATCTTGCTTTCAGTTTCCCTCTTCAGTTTCTTTAAGTCATGTTTTCTGGTTTCCAAATTATTTTAGTCCACTTGGTGCATAAATGACTGTCATTATAGGAGAAATAATTACATTATTTCTGGTGTAAATTGAACTAGCCATACACGACACTATCATTACATGAATTAAGCAAAGAAAATCTATTACGTTTTTCAATTGATGTTTAAAATAATGTAGTAATTTTAGTTTTAAAAATTCAGAAAAAAAGCAAAACTATTCAATTTTTCTTCTTCAGTTTTTTTTGGCAGTTGGTAATCAGGTATTTAATCACTGTTCTTTAAGTTGAAGTAACTAATTTGTAGATTTTTACATTAGTTTTTATCAGATAGAATATGTTGATAAATACGTTGATGTTCTTAGATTGTATCTACATATTTCCTCTCTAAACCGTGGCTTCAGGTTTTCATGTGATACAGTTCTGCAGAGCCATACTTCTTTTGCATATGTCGTTTTGAAAGTGTTTTATTGCTGAAGTTCGTGTTGAATCTTGGCCCAAAGAAACATTCTGGGCCTCTAGAAAATCAGGTTAAAAAAACCCAAAAAACAACAACTTAAAGTTTTGCATGTAATTTAATCAGAAAATTAATTCTTCTTTAAAGAATTAATGTTCTTTAGAGATTCGAGATGGGAGGACACTGTAAATAGCTAAACTACATGTGAACCTTTATATTCGTAGCACATCTCCCTCCTGGCTCTTTTACAAGTTTTTGCTTTTTTGTAGCAGCATAGGATGTCATTAGGCTTTTCTCTTTTTTATTTATTACCATCATTTCCCACCATAGGCTTTGCCACTGCTCTACTACAGCATAGGCACGTGTGTGATGGCTCTGCTTTGTGCACGATACCTTGTTTAGTGTCCCTCCGTGCTATAACTCCAGACTGGTTTTTTCCATTTCTATGGCTTATCCTATGGATCAGTTAAATCTGTTGCTGCTCCTCTTAGGGACAAGTTTTATAGCTGGCTTTTAAAATTTGAAATGTGAATCTGTACCACATTTTTAAGTTGTGTTCTCACAGGCTTCACTAAGAGCTTTGTAGCACCAAAGCTCCAGACTCACTACATAGAAACCAAGAGTCAGTATATTCTTAGTACATAGTTGCTGAAAGTCAAGCAAGATCATTTCAGCTGAAATGCTAAATTTTGGAACCTTTGGGAAACCTTGAAGAAGCTGAGCTGTCAGGGAGAATTGCCATTCTCCCTGACAGGTACTCTTTGTACCTGTTCTCCATTCATCTCTAATGCAGTCTGATGCTGACAGTCTCCTGAATACAGGTATATATATAGTAGCTGTGGATTTCAAGTGTCTTCAATTAAGTTCTTGTTTTGATCAGTCCATGATCAGGCTTGGTCTTGAACATGATCCCTCACAGCACATCTTTGTCACCTGTTGACAGTGTGGGAGATCCATTGTGTTCAGGTGTTCCTGCCATTTCTTTCAGGGCCCATAGGATCAAGTGGTCTAACAAGTGCTTATGTCCCTTCATTTCTGAAGAAGGAAGTAGGTTCTGCTGGGCAGAGGGTTCAGTTAGCACCAGTTGTGGATCCATCTTCTGGTAAGTCCAGTACTGAAGTTCTCTTGGTCCTTTGGTCAGTACTCTGGTAATGCTGTATGTATGCAACACTGACTGAACTACTTATCTTTGCTTTATTTTATTTGTCAGTATATGACTGACTGGAAATATTTGTAACCTTGCAGAACTTCATATGGAGAAGGATTTGGTTTGTTTTTACTTTTGTTTATTAAATATGTGAGTTTATCTGCAGCTTATTTCAGTGGGACCTAGAGGTTGGTGTGAGAGCTGAAACAGAATTCACACTTGTCAGATCAGTGATATAAATACTCCTTGTCTGCTAAAGTTTTAGGGATTGGATCCACTATTGTTTCACATCAGCAAACTTTGTTAAAAATGGAGACTTATTTCCTGAAGAAGTAAGGATCTGGACCTGCACTCAGTTGTTGTTCAGCATGGACAGCTCTCACTAAATCCTTATATCACAGAATTTTTTTGTCCTTTAGATTTTGCGTCTCTGACATCAGTCAGACCCCTACTTGGATGGCCATCATTCGGTTCACCTACCAAAAGTTCGCCGAGGTTAATGCCTTTGCCACCGGCAGCAGAGCCGATCCATGGGCGCGTTGACTGGTCTGCGAAGTACGGCGCTCACCGGTGACCTGGGAAATACCCTCTGACCAGTGCCTGCTTCCCAGGAAGTGGTGGCCAACATGAGACCATTTCATAGTGGTTTATATACCTGTACATTTAAAGGGAGTAGATCTTCCATGAATGAGACATTTTGAAGGGTTTTTTTACTTACTTGCATTAATCTGAATGCAATCTTGTACCTTTTTGTATGAAAATGTTTTGTTATATACTTGAGTCCAGTTATTTTCATGCAAGTGATACATTTTGTATATAAGGCTTAGGGCATTTGGCATTTTTATACAGCAAATTTTTATAAGGAACTTTCAAAGAAATAAATTTTTTTTATTAGATTCAACTTTTTTATACACGTGGATAAAAAAACCCATGGTGCAATATTGCAGTGAAAGGAGAAGTACTGAGGAAGGGGCATTCATTAGACATTTTCTGAAGTATATGTACTAATTGAGGCTGTGTAATTTCAAGTGATGCCATGTCTCAGTGCCACACTTTTGTTGTCCTATGCTCATAGCTTTATGCTGACATCAGAGGAGTGAGTGACTTAACAGTCTTAAACCCTCCTTTGCAGTCACTGAGAAACTGCTGAAAGATAGTGGGAGGCACCTTTTTTTTTTTTAATTTATTTTTGCCTTTAAAAGGGTTTTTGTTGGACTGCTATTCAAATTTACCAAATCTGAGGACTCTTGTTTGGTGAGGGGTAAATTCTCTTCTGTACATCTGTTTTCTGACACAGTGTTCCTTTTTCCTGCTCAAAAGTTGTTCTTTGGCATTGTTCACTATGAAATAGAATATGGACCTACCTCTGTTAAATTAATGTAAATGGTCTAATGATTTCTAAGGAGAAAAAGCAGATTCTATTTCTTCTTTTTCTTTTGTTGCGATTGTTAGTTCTGAAGACATATTAAAGACCATATTAACAATTAATAAATCAATAACATTAATAAAACTGGTTTCAGAGTAACAAAATATTAATGATGTGCCAGCAACATAGTTTAAGGAAACAAGATCTATGCAGCCGACTTACTTTTCACAACTGTTTTAAATGGCTGCTGTTTTAAATCACTTAAGGGAAGAAAATCCCAAAAAACCAAAACAACCTGGAGGAAATGATTCAGTCTAACCTTACTTATGTTTATACTCAGTTCTTCTTCATTCAATACATCTTCATTTACAATGTGAAGAATATGTCAGCTTCCATAAATTAGGCCCAGAGGCTCTACAGGAAAAAATGGGATCTTATATGGTCCTGTTAAGAAAATGTTGTAAAACTGTGGTCGATTTCACTGAAATTGATACAGTTCTTTGAAGAGCAGTTTAACTCCATTTATGAGAGTATGATTCATATCAACTTCTAGAGAAAAGAAAGTAGCCCCATAATCTGATTTAGTTCTGCTCTGGAAAGGAGTGCCGGAGTCCAGCCATAAGCAGAAGATTCTTTTAGATCACAGCCAACATTTGTCTGTTCCTGCACCTCCTTGTACAGAAGAAAGGTAAAACTCTTCAGTGCTGTGGGAGAACACCTCCATAGCTGTGTTCTGGAGTGGTGCTGCCAAAGCTGAAGTTGTGCTGGAAAAAATGCATCTCCCTGCAGAAGGGTGCAGAAATGCTCATCTTCCTGAGCTCATTGATCAGCTAAGGAAGATTGTTTATTTAAGAGATTTAAATCCAGCCTAAAGAGATCAGTTCTCAGCTTCCAGCTGTTTCACAGGAACTGAATGGCTGTGTGTCCACGAGATCTTCTGCATGGGATCTGCCAGCACACACAAGGGGCAGATGCTGTGGTGTTGAGACTGAGAACCAGTTCTGACCTTTTAGGTGCTTCCCATGGTGAACATGTGGGATTTTGAAGAAACTGTACCCTAGGGTAGGCTGCTGGCTCAGTGCTACAGGGGGAACAACAGGGAGCACTGGTCACTGTTTGCTTTTAAGGGCTCAGGCCACAGTGAGACAGTACAAGACAAAGAGGGAACAAAGTGTGCATGTAAGACTTACACATGCCAAAGACATCTTCTGTGTCCTGTTGCTCTTTGTCTGGGCATAGCAAGTACTAACTCCAAACCATACCTAACTGCTTCTACAGCAGTGATGCCAATGCTTAGCAGTAAAGTAAAACAGCCATTTCTGAAGTGCACACTGGTGGGTGTCTGTGGGTAAGTGGAAAGGGAAATATGTATATTTGTGTTAGAACTGGAAAGATAGTTGTTTCTCTTGGTGGAAATAAATACCCGTATTTATGTCTACATTTAATTTAATTTATTTTATCACCAGGTAATTTGTCTCAAGAATGAACAATGATACCTATCCCAGTATCCCTAGACCTAAGTAGGCTATTTAAGTAGTCTGGTCTGTACACTTAGTTCCTACGAGTGGAAGGAGACAAATCATGAGAACAGGCAGCTGAGGCTTGGATTCATCATACCTAAGCATGAGCTCCTTTGTTGTGAGGTGACTCACCCCTGGTGAGTGAGAGGGGGACAATTCTGTGAGATTCAAGTAACACGGGATAAATTTGAACCTGGCCTGTAATCTCTGAACCTTTATCAGGCCATCAGTGATTCTTTTCACTATAGTATTCAGGCTTTAGTCAGTCCAGTGAAAAGATTAGATAAATAAATTGTACATCTGCTTTGCTTTTCTTTGTATCTCCTTCTTTCCTAAGTTTAAAGCCTTATATTTTGGGGAAAAAAGCTAATAATCCAGACATTCAGAATCACAGCTAGTTTTAACTTAGTGAGACAGAAAATCAGCTATATGTAATGGCTGTAGCCTTTACTCAAGCAAATTCTTACTTACGATGGAAAAGTTCATTTTGAGCAGGATGGAGCTGAGTTTATGTATTTTACCGTGCTGTCTCTGTGCAATACAGGTATGGAAAAGATGGAGGACTTTATATATAGAAATCTGGACAAGCAGCATATTTGAGAATTTATGATATTTAACCTACTACTTTGTGCTTTAATATTTAGCAGCGTCTTTGTGGAAAATGTTTTTAGAATTGTACTGTTCACATTTTCTTGGGCTTAGGCATAACATGTAATAATAAAGGGGTCTAACAGTGGATTCATTACCCCTGTAATCCAGATTTTCCAAAACGTAATGTGTGCCATGATGTTAGCGAGAAAAAAAAAAAAAGCCAGAAAACCCAGTCCCATGATGTTCCTGTGTCTGATATGGCTGTTGATATGAGCAGGATGTTCTGTAATGTGAGGGGGAAAACATGTACTGAAAGAACATTGTAGAACTTAGTATGGAAGGAGGGGGTGGAATTGTCAGAGATGTGGAGAACTAATGGTTCTTTTTTTTTCAGTATTTTTGTTCAGAAACATTCTAAATGCTGTTTCATTCTTTCTGTGTCAAATGTCCTACCCAGAATAAAGTTATCCTTAAAGTACTACTGTCTGACTGACTTGCTCTTTTATTCAGTTTTTAATGGAAGCTCTTTAGTTAGCCTTTTGTTTGGTTGGGTTTTTTTAGTTGGGTTATTCAGTTTATTCAGGTTTTTTAATCAGCCACCTTGGAGGGGCACTGCACGTTCACTGGCCACATGGTTTGAGTGTAAGCTTGTAATTTCTGCAATATACTGTGAGCTCCCTGTAAAACTGATTGCTTGGATGTCAGCTCCTCTGAAACTACCTGCAATACTGAATTATAATATGCATAACACTTCAAGGAAAACACTTCAATCTAGCTGAACTAGATTGTTGTGGGTCCCTTCCAAGGGAAAATATTCTATTTTGTTCTGTTCCTATTCTGTTAAAAATTATTCTCAGTGTCTTGTGTCACCTTTTTAGCCTTCACCCCTGTCTTTCAAGGCAGTAGAAGCTGAAGATAGTTTATAACTTAAAAGCCCAGCCCTTTTATTAGCTGTTTAAGTGGACTGAAAACCACTTGCACAGGTGGACAATTAGGTGAAAAACACATTTATACGTGCAAGGAATCCAGTTTTACCAGGGGGGTGGGGGGAGGAGAGTATCACGTGAGGAGCTCACAGATTCGTAGGTGACCGGGAAATTGGAAAAGCGGTAAAATGAAATAAAAAACATTTGCATACACACACCCTCGCTGCGTTTAAGGCACAAAACAATGGCAAACTGCCCCATGCAGCGCCTCACTTGGATGTGTCTGCAGTCTTGGAAGCTTGACTACCCTACGTTCTCCTACAAATGGACCTTGAGCTTGTTTGGAGGTTCTAGCAGGGGAGCGCAGCTACCGTATACCCTTGACCGATGAACGGTACCGTCTCTATCGGGGAGGTCGTCCTCTTCGACCGAGCGCGCAGCTTCGGGAGGGACGCACATGGAGCGTTGAGGGAGGAAGGGGACACCCGCCTAGCCAGCCAGATCAGCCGAATCAACCCTGGCGATCAATGGGGTGACAGATGTCGCAGCCAGATCGCCCTCACATCCAGACAAACTGCGCTCGCAAACAGGTATTTATAGCTCAGTACTGCCGATCTCCTCAACGTCACGGTTTGTAGCAACCACTACGAACCTAGCGGCACGGAGCACGGAATAATCAACCTGCAGCGATAAAACCTTCTGAGAGAAATAATTTTTTAACCCAGTTAAAAAATTTTAGCGAAATCCTTTGGGGTTAGGTGTCTTTCCAGAAGGCTTTGCGAAACTTGCAAATTTGCGGCTTCCCATTGGCGGCTTCTCCGCTCGTCGCCGTCCCGTGGCCTGGGCGGGGCGGGCCCGGCGCTGATCGCTGCTGCAGGCGGGGCCAGCGGGAGCGCCCACCTTGGAGCGTCCTGTGCTCGCTCGGCATCGCCGCTTTGACCCTCCGTGCGTGTGAGTAGTGTGTGCCCCTGGGATTTCTCTCTTCCTGCTCCCCCCCAAACAGTGCCCGTGGCTGGTTTGGCTCAGGTGAGGCGGGGAGCCGGCGGTCTGTGACGGGCTCAGGCCTGAGCCGTGGATCGGCTCTCCCGGTCACGGGCTCCCCGTGTCACAATGCGGACCGCTCGTCATCTCGCGTCTCCCTAGAGCTTTTCCCCGGGAGGGCTGGGGGCTGGTGGCCCGGGGGCCGCTGCCTGTCACACGCTGAGCACGGGACGTTCCCCCGGGTTGGTGTTGCGGGTGCAGAGTGGAACCGCTTTTGGGCTGCTGCTGAATGCTGGCAGGGAAAATCGGGCCCTGGAATCCTGGATCTGCAGGACGTGCCAAGCACAGCTCGACCCCTGGCCCTCTTCACTGATATTCTTCTAGTTCATTCTAGCGTGGGAGTGATCGTTTCTTACAGCGATATTTATGTTCCCTCATTCCCTCTTGTCCTGGGGTGACTTTATGATACTGGTATCCCCAATCGTCTGGTTTATGTTATATATTAAGTTCTACACCTTTAAGACTGGCTTTGAGAGCAAGAGAGGGGGAAGAAGAAGCCCGCAGTTTGTGTTAAAGAAAAACATCACTCCCACACATCCCGCTCCTGGACTGTGGTGTCTGCAGCACGGACAGACAGCGGGACAGAGCTTCTCTCTGGCTTTTAGTTAGTTTTAGCTAGCTAAGGCAGAAGAGTTCCCTAGACCTTTGTTTGTTTTTTTCCCAATTTTCTTGGATCTGTGCAAGCCTGCTCTGGACTGAACACCCAGCCAAACCCCGGGAGCTCACGCCTGTGGCCCACCGGGGCCTGGGCCTCGGCACTTTCCAGCGCCGGAGGGACTGATAAGAACCTGAGCGAGCCGAGCTACACCACATGAAAAGGACTGTTTTCCTCCTAGATTTGCCATCCCATCGAACAGCAAGAGGTTTTATTATTTAATATTACTCAATTTCTGTTAAATAAACAGCTTTTTCCACTTCTCTCTAAAGAATTTTTTTTCTTTTCCCGGACCAGTTAGTGGGGAGGGGCATTTCCCTGGGGAAATCCCCATTTAGAGTTTTCCTTCCTAATTTGCCCTAAACTAAGACACCTCTGTTAACCCAGCTGGCCTTTATAAATCACAGCAAGGAGC